AAATTTTCATTATTGAAGATTAATATCACTACTTCTGCTTTTTTCCCGTTTACCATTTGCTTGGTATATTTTTTCCCATCCTTTTATTTATAGTCTTTCTTTATCTTCATTTTTCAGGTGTGTCTTTTGTAGACAACATATGGATGGATTTGGGTTTTTTTATCCAATCTGCTACTCTTCTTCTCTTCAGTGGTGCATTCAAACCATTCACATTCAGTGTGATTATAGAAAGGCAGGGTTTTATTGCTATTATTTTGTTGAGTTCTTTTTTGTATTGTTGCTAGTTAATTTGGCCCATGCTGTTTTCTGTAGTACCTCTGTAAGAAGGACATCTCTCAGTGTTTCCTGCAATGCTGGTCTTGTTTTTACAAACTCCCTTAGGTTCTGTTTCTCTGAGACTATCTTGATCTTTCCTTCATATTTGATGGATAATTTTGCTGGGTACAGTATTCTTGGTTGACAGTTGTGTTCTCTGAGTATTGATATATGTCCTTCCACTGTCTTCTGGCTTGCATAGTTTCTGCTGAAAAATTGATACTTAATCTTATCTGTTCTCCCTTATAGGTTACTCTTTGTTTCTCCCTCACTGCTTTCAGAATTTTTCTCCTTATCTTTGTTTCTGGAAAATTTAGCTATGATATGCCTTGGTGTTTTTCTTGTGGGGTCTAGTCTATATGGCTCCATTTCTTAAATATATATTCTCTCATTCTTCATTATGCCTGGGAAGTTTTCCTCTAGTAATTCTTTCACAACTTTTTTGGTGCCTCTACTTGCTTCTTCCTGTTATGGGATTCCAGTGATGTACCTGTTATTTCTCTTGATTGTGTCCCACATTATTCTTAGGTTTTCTTCTTTTTCCTTCCTTTTTTATTCTGCTTTTTGCTCTAGCAGATCAGTGGTAACAATTCTGTTTTCCAATTCACTAGTTCTGTGTTCCATCTTTTCAACTCTGCTCATGTGTCCCTCCATCATTTTGATAGCATCTGAAACATTGGACCTCCTATTTTGGATCATGGTTTATTGTTTTTTCCAGTGACCCTAATGCCTTGTTTGTTTTATCTGCATTGTTTTGGATTTTTTTTAAGCTTCTTCTTGTTTTTGCTTGCAGTGTCCTGAAATTTTTCATGTTTGTCTTTCATCTATTGAAAATATTAAATCATGGCTCTTTTAAATTCTGTGTCAGAAAGTTCCATCTAACTTTCTGGCTTCAGGAAATCCATTGATACTGTGTCACCTTTGAGGGGTAACATCTTGCTTTTTGCTTGGGTAGTGTGTGAGATAGCTTGCTTTCTTTGAGAAATTGATAGGTTCTTGATCTGAAGACAATGCTCTATAAATCATACCCCACCTATGTTTTTCTCTGAATTTCTGATTCAAGAGAAAGTTCCGTTCAGGGCCTGTGAGAGCAACCGCTTGTAGATAAAGTCAGATCAAACTGTTCCAGATTAAAGGCAAGTTGATTGACTGAACATGTAGGCACAGGTGTGGAGCCGAATGCGGGGCAGCCATGGTGGCGGGGCAAGGTGATCACAGGGCCGGATCAGCCACTTGTAGGGACCTCACTCAGATTTCAGCTGTTTGTGTGTGCTCACGAGTGGGGTTGCTACTCAAATTCCAGCTGTCCATCTCCCACCCAATGTCTCTCGCTCTGTGGTGTCTGCCCAGTAGCCTTTACCCAAGCATCCTTGCCCAGCAGCCCCTGCCCCCGCAGGGCCCTGAGTTCAGCAGTACCCAAGAAAACTCAGTCAAATCTTACTGACCCACTCACCTTTGGTGGGTCTGTGGTGCCCATGAAAGTTCAGTCAAATTCTCACCAGCCCACTTGCTCCTGGGTGCTCTCCTGAGCAGTCGGTGGTACTCAAGAAAACTCAGTTAAATTACTACAAGTCTGCTCAATCCTGGATGGTTAGTGGGGACACAAGAATACTCAGTCAAATTCCAGCAGATCTACTTGCTCCTAGTGGGGCTTAAGAGACCTCAGCCAATTTCCTGCTAACCCTTCTCCTGTCTGATGGATCCCACATCAGTTTGGCTTCCAGCTTCGGCCTGGGCCCACAGCACAGCTCAATGGTCCTGTAGCTCCCAAACTAATTATTTTAATAAAAGTTCTGACTCAAATTCCTACTGTCCACATCGTGCTGTGTTGGTTTGTGTATGCCATGATAGTCTCTCCTATGGCCCGTTTCTATGCAGTTTGCTGCTCCTCACTGCTTTCTCCACTGCCACCATCTTGGAATAGCAAAGCGCTTATTAAAAAACAAACAAACAAACAAACAAAAACCCCTGAAGTGGGAGTCATGGCACTACCTGATCACAAACAGTGCTAGTAACGAAAACAGCATGGTACTAGTACAAAGACAGGCACAAAGACCAATGGAACAAAATTGAGAACACAGAAATAGAACCCACTATGTATGGTAAACTGGTATTTGGCAAGTAAATGAAACCTATCAATAGGGAAATGACAGTCTCTTCAACAAATGGTGTTGGCAAAACTGGACTTCTACCTGCAGAAAGCTGAAACAGGATCCACATCTCACACCATACACAAAACTCAACTCAAGGTGGATCAGAGACCTAGATAGAAAGCCCAAAACCATTAAGTTCATCAGAGACAAACTGGGATCAAGCTTAGATGGCCTCATCTATGGTACAAATAGACTGTCAGATACAGCCAGAAATGTACCATCTGGAGAGGATAAAATTGAAGAATGGGACCTTTAAAGATTAAATCTCTGTGTGTATCAAAACCTTTTTCCAACAGAGTGAAAAGAAAATCTACTGATTGGGATAAAACATTTGACAATACCATTTCAGACAAAGGTCTCAGATAAAAAGTTTACAGAATCTTACAGGGCCTCCACAAGAAAAAGACTAATAACCTACTTACAAAATGGGCAAAAGACCTGGAAAGACTTTTCACAGAGGAAGATATTTGAATGGCCAATGGACACATGAAGAAATGATCCACATAACTGGCAAGAAGAGAGATGTATATCAAAACCACAATGTGACACCATCTCACTCCAGTAGCAGTGGCAAAGTTTAACAGGACAACAAGTAATAAAAGTTGGAGAGGATGCTGCAAGATAGGAACTCGTATACATTATTGGTGAGATTGTAAAATGGCACAACCACTTTGGAAGGCAATTTGGCATTTCATCAGAAAGCTCAACATAGAAATTTCATATTCCACTGCTTATAATATACCCCAAGAAAATGCGAATTGAGGCACAAATGGAGACTTGCACACGGTTCATAGCAGCGTTATGCACTATCGCAAGAACATGGAAACAGCCCAAATGTCCAACCATAATCAAATGGACTGAGAAATTATGATACATTCACATGATGGAATACCATGCAGCAAGCAGGAGTAATGATTTTGAAAATCACTATTCAACTTGGGAAGAACTTGAGAGCAAGTTAAGTGAACTCACTCAGTTCCATAAGGACAATTACTATGTAAGACCATTATTGTAGAAAGTGTATGAGGATCCAAGGCAAGGGGCAGAGGTTGGGAACAGAGAGGAGAGGATGGGTGGATTGGGGTGTATGTGTGTTAAATCATAGGGTTCTACAATTTGATGGGTGGAGGGAGGTGTAGTTAAAGGAAATGGGGAAAATCCAGTGTGAAAAACAATGTATAGGAACTTTGTAAAAAAAAAAAACCAAACACACAAAACACCAGTATAAAAGAAATATTTTCTTTAAACTTAAAAAGATAAAGGATAGCGTTTGATTTGAAAGTTCCTCTTATACTACTGCCCCCTCTAGTGGTATAATTGCATGGCCACACTGTCAGCAATTAGGGCCAGGATTAGACCAGGTTTATTCTAATTCCATCTCTCTTTGGAGAATTTGTTTCTCAGATCTACTGAATCAACGGCTATAGTTTAACAAGACACACACACACACACACACA